GACTGATATCGACCGGCGTTTATTGTGCGAAGTTTTCCCTAACTGTGAACTTGCCGAACGCCTGAAACCAAATCTTGCGCGTTGCGTGTGTGTGGGCATGTTTGCCTGTACAAGTGTCACCACTTATCCCTGCCCCTTGCGTGAGTTCGACCACAATGACCTCGAGCATCCAACTCCACCATCCACTCGACGGCTGTCTTTAATACTCCACCACCATTCGCCTTGGGTGACAGCTCACCGCACCCATGTGTGTCTGTCGCATTCCACTGTGCGCTTGTCCACACACGATCTCGGTTAAGTAATTTATCCAACTGCTCAGATACACTTTTGATGATTGACAAACTGATGATGATACTCTCTTGTTGAGCTTTTCTCTAACGCATTTATTGCTAACCAAGAACGCATACACTTCAGGTTTGTTTTATTAGGTAATTGGTTGGCGGCATCCGGTTTCGGATTTGTATATCACTGTGGCCAGCCACAGGACGCCTGCGCCTACAGAGGGACCATGGATGGCTTGCACTGCAACACCCACAGCTCCAACCGCACACCCCATATCCAGTGTAAACTCGAAGAAATAAGACCGGAAGGCAAGTGGATGGAAACCAGGTTTCATCAACGGAGACGGCCCACACTAATTCACAGGCAAACACAAGCACGCTGTATTTGGGAATCAAGCGCATACAAGTCGGTGGCTGGACCGTAGTCCGCTCCACACTGAGTGCATTGAACCACTCTTTGATCTCAACGCTGCCTCTCCAGCAACGACCAACTGTCTCCTGGAGCCAGTATGGAGGAGGTAGTAGGTAACGGACAGCTAGGCACCTTGTCAACATGCAAATCAAGCGTAGCCACACTGGGAATATCAAGCAGCAGCCAATCATTTGAGAGAGAGAGAGAGATGCAAAGAAAATAACTCGAGTAATGCATAAAGAAACGGTGACATAAATCTTAAATTAATGAGCATTTCAAATAAGTTGTTTACAAAAGTATCCGAGATAAGTTCACGAGGTCAGAATGTATATTTTACGGAAATGACACAAACACGAAAATGTTATCGAAATTAACTACAATTGACTTAAGCGACGTGTGCAAGTTTATAGAAAAGAATACAGGTAGACATTTATATGAGATAGATAATAATTAGGACAAAATTACAAACCCACCACCTGAAATAAAGAGACTTAGCATGCAAGCACGCGGTTAGTAAATCGAATGCAGCGTACCTACAAACGTTGCGCTGGTTCTGTCTACGTTCTCTGCAGGATCCGACGTTGCTTCGTTGGTCGTCCCGAGTGGCCTCACTCATGGCTCACTAGGCCTGCCTGACTCAGACATTTGCGACAGCATGTGCTACAGCACCAGGTGCTCGATGTCGACGGATTACAGTCCATCGGTGCTTGCCGCTTCCGCACTTGCCGCTTCTTCTCTGCATGTAGGAGATCTTTCTCCCGCACTTCGGCAACTACTTTCGTAATTAGATCGCGCCATGTACGCCGATCAACCGCTTTCGATTCCTATGACCTGCGATCAAGATTAGAACGTGAGGCTCACTTTGGTCATGTAATGGTAATGTAACTTTGGTTTCCCCACATGCCGCTTCCCAATACTCAGCTGATCATATAATAGCTGCTTCGGTATCCGCGTCGAATGCATACGGCTCACATGGCCGAGCCACCTCAGGTGTCTCAGTAAAAGTATGCAGTACACTACATACATTCCACTACGGTGCAACACTTCCGTGCCTACAACTCTGTGGCCCCAACTGATGCGCAAAATCCGTCGTAAACACTGCTGATGGAACCGCTCGAGATATCGCACATCCCGCCAGTACATCGTCCACATTTCACTGTCGTATAGAAGAACGGACAGCGCCATGGAGTTGTACCCTATCAGCTTCGTGCCAATCGTAAGCTGTTGTTTGTTCCACACTCGGTACTCAAGCTTCCCGAATACCGCCGCTGCCTTCGAAACGCGGATACGCAGCGTACTATGTAGCAGCTGATCAGTCGACGTCACACTCCCAAGGTAGCAGAAGCGGGAGGTGGTTTCCAATACTTCAGCACCAATGCTGATTCGCAGCAATATTGAAGATTGCACCGCCGGTGAAGGCTGAAAGAGACACAGTTTTGATTGTGTTGATGATGAGCCTGAATTTGGCTGCTGTCGGAGGCGGAGCACTAGTCATGTGCTGCAACTCATCTGCGCTGTGTGCAACCAACGCACTGTCATCAGCAAACAGCAACATGCGGATAGTTGTGCCACAGACTAGAGTTCTCGCATTTTTAACGACGGATGTTCATCAACCCACCATCAATACAGTGCTCCACGCAAACACCGTAATCACAAGCGGCATCAAAAGCCCATCATTGCATGTATATATTAAACAGGGCAGGAGCTAAGACACCGCCTTACTTCGTACCGGTGATAAGTGCAAAGTTATCCGAGGTCTCTCCACTCAGCTGCACCCTCACTCGCATACCACTGTGCAGACATTCAATTAAACTTAAAAATTTACGCGGGCAACCAAAATTGCCCAACACTAGACACAATGCCTCGCGATTCACCGTAGGAAATGCCTTGATGAAATCAACAAAAGCGAGTACAATGGCTAGTGTCGTTCTCTGCACTTCTCCCGCAAATGAGGAGCTGCAAACACCATATCTATAGTGCTGCGACCCGAGCGGAATCCACAAGGCTGTTCCGCCACGTTAGGTTCCCAGAGTAAATCTATTATAACGAAAAAAGAAGGGGGGGGGGGGGGGGGGGGGGGGGGGGGGGGGGGGGGGGGGGGGGGGGGGGGGGGGGGGGGGGGGGGGGGGGGGGGGGGGGGGGGGGGGGGGGGGGGGGGGGGGGGGGGGGGGGGGGGGGGGGGGGGGGGGGGGGGGGGGGGGGGGGGGGGGGGGGGGGGGGGGGGGGGGGGGGGGGGGGGGGGGGGGGGGGGGGGGGGGGGGGGGGGGGGGGGGGGGGGGGGGGGGGGGGGGGGGGGGGGGGGGGGGGGGGGGGGGGGGGGGGGGGGGGGGGGGGGGGGGGGGGGGGGGGGGGGGGGGGGGGGGGGGGGGGGGGGGGGGGGGGGGGGGGGGGGGGGGGGGGGGGGGGGGGGGGGGGGGGGGGGGGGGGGGGGGGGGGGGGGGGGGGGGGGGGGGGGGGGGGGGGGGGGGGGGGGGGGGGGGGGGGGGGGGGGGGGGGGGGGGGGGGGGGGGGGGGGGGGGGGGGGGTGGGGGGGGGGGGGGGGGGGGGTGGGGGGTGGGGGTGGGGGGGGGTGGGGGGGGGGGGGGGGGGGGGGGGGGGGGGGGGGGGGGGGGGGGGGGGGGGGGGGGGGGGGGGGGGGGGGGGGGGGGGGGGGGGGGGGGGGGGGGGGGGGGGGGGGGGGGGGGGGGGGGGGGGGGGGGGGGGGGGGGGGGGGGGGGGGGGGGGGGGGGGGGGGGGGGGGGGGGGGGGGGGGGGGGGGGGGGGGGGGGGGGGGGGGGGGGGGGGGGGGGGGGGGGGGGGGGGGGGGGGGGGGGGGGGGGGGGGGGGGGGGGGGGGGGGGGGGGGGGGGGGGGGGGGGGGGGGGGGGGGGGGGTTTGTATGTGGGTTAGTATTTGAGTGGGGTTGTAATGTGATATGATATGTGGGAGGGGGGGGGGAATGGGGGGGAGATGTAGGGAGTGTGAGGGGGAGATTGGGGTAGGATTGGTGAGGGAGGTGAGAGGGGATTTTTTGTTATGGGGGGGGTAGGGGGATGGTGGAGGAGGGGGGATGGGGATGGGATGTTGGTAATGAGTGATTGGGAAGATGAGGAGAATTGATAGGTATGGATAAGACTTCAAGAAGTCAAAGAATTTCTTATGTTGGCGGCGTTCGGCCCAACATTTCATCTGCTTCGCCTTCTCCGTCCACCATGCATTTTTAATGCGACGGAGCGCTCAGGTCAACCGCCGTCGTAGTTTGCCAAACTGTCTCTTCTTCCCAAGTCACTGGGGTCTGTCAAATGTGCAGCGAATGCTGCATTCTTCTCCGGCACCAATGCGTCAATCATAGCATTGTTGTCATCAAACAAATCAGGCCGCTTACAGTTTGCGCGCCCGATGGTCTCCTCGGCAGTAGCTATCACCTGGTCGTGAATGTGGTGCCACAGGTCGCCCACTGTGGTTATGCAGTCCACATCACACAGGCGTGCAGCCATCGCCTTCTCCAGCTCAGTACGTTTCGCCACAGTACCGAGGGAGAGAATGTTAAATTTACGCCGACTCACGGCAGGAGTGCAACACATAGGTTTGCGAAAATATATGTACAGTTTGCTCCGCACCAATTTGTGATCAGTGCCACAATCAGCTACTCTCAATACACGTGTCATGCGCACTTCACGCATATCACGCTGACGTACGATGACATAGTCGAGCAGGTGAGTGTGACCACTCCGTGGGTGCGTCCAAGTTACTATATCATTCGCACTCAGTGCAAACCGAGTGTTCGTGATCGTCAGGACGTGAGTGGCACACAGTGAGAGCAGCCTGTCACCGTTCGCATTCTCTGAACCAATGCCATGAGGACCGATAACATCTATCCACACCGATGCATCACGCCCAACGCGCGTTGAAATCACCCAGCAGAAATAGTCGGTCGCTTCTTGGCGCAGACCGTACCACGGAGGATAGCTGAGTGTAGAACTGACCACGCATGTCATCAGGATAGTACATGCTCAGACCGTTCGTGCTTATAAAAGTGGCAAACTTACCTCTCCCGAGTCGTAGGCGAACAGTCATCAGTCGCGCGCTGATGCCTGTTGGTTCACCAATCGGCTGACCATGGAGACGATCGGATATTGCAAATCCGACCCCATGATCACGTGGTGCTGAGGCGGCGTTGCCCACCCAGTAGAATGTGTAGCCAGCACGTGCTTTATGCGACTTACCTTGCTCAGCGAGCCGAGTTTCACTGGGCGCCGCAATATCAATTTGGTAACGCGTCAGCTCCATCGCAACCAGTGCAGTGCGTGGCTCGGGGCGCTCAGTGGAGTTCCGGTCCGGTAGTGTGCGCACGTTCCAGCACCCGATGCTGAGTGCCTTGCGCGCAGGCATAAGATTGCATTGGTGGGCAATCGCACTCTAGATTCTCGTTGTGCTTTGGAGGTTTGCTTGAGGGACTCTGCCCGAAGCCTTTGGCTCAATAATCTAACCCACAAGGCAGTGGGGAGCAGATCCAGCTCGGGAATGTGATTGCATATAAAGAATAGGATTTGCTTGACCTCCGTCACACGCAGTCTTGGAGGTTCTGGAACGATTTATTTATGTTTTGCGACGGTAGTAGGATACACCTGCGACCACGGCTAGACGCAGGTGGGTTTTGGCAGCTTTTCACCAATTTGACCAGGGGCTGCTTGGCTTGTGGCAGAGAGTAGCAAACCAATGAACACCCGGTGGTGCTCTCCCACCGTCAGAGACAATGCGTGGCGCTCGTGCTATACGCCAATAGAGCTGTGAGCTTGTAACCCGTAGACCTGTTTTCTCCAACGGTTAGGTATTACGGGCAGAGGGCCATCGAGCACTTCCTAACCTCCGAAGAGGATGGACTAGGATACTGGCAGGGCGCCCTCACCTGAGAGAAGAAGGAATCGGGTCCTCAGCCAAAGTCTTCGATTAAATGAACACCCGAAAAGCAGCAGGTCTTGCACATGGTCAGTTCACTGACTCATGCGGATTGGTGTCCTGGATCTTAGCAGGGAGAAAGGCGAAACCCAACTCCCCCCAGCGGTCGCCACGAGGTGTCCAAGACATGAGCCAATGGCGTAATAGTAGCAGCAGTGGGTAGATCATCTGTCAGGATATAGTCACCACCAACCTCAGCGCACCATACGCTTTTCCGCCATTAGGTAATTAATGTTATGTAAGTAGCACCGCGCACCTTAGATCCATCTTGTCATTTGAACAATTCGGGATCGATTGGTACGCCTGGCTCTAAAATAGCGTTTTAGTCATTACACCGGCAGATTTGAGGTCAGCAGTTATTCGTTTTTGATGGCATGATTATACCTCGTCAGCAGCTTGATTTGATAAGGTAGGTCCCAGTCCTTGTCCGATCCGGCTACAGAATCGTATTTAGGAACAGCAAATTGTAGCTCCCGTGTAATCGCCAGCAGACTTGATTATTCTGATAAGCTCATGTCTCGCCTTTGCAACGCTTCCAAGACTTTCAGCAGAAGTTTAAATGAAAGGATTTTCAATTTCCTCGTCAACCTTCTAAAAATTCTATTGTTCTTTGCTCTGACTGAAACAGGAGTTTTGGGATTCTTGGTCCGCATCCTCTATAATTTCGTGTGAGGCTTATCACTTGGAGATTTCAATCGACAACATTATCCAAGGGAAGTGTTTCTCAAATGGACCGCTACTGTTCCAAACCGTGAGGTCCGATTTCTTGACTACAGGAAGGGAGTCTCAGGAAAAACATTGGTGCAAATTGTGTGCTTGTTGTGTCCTCCGAGATTTTAATTTTCGATTGTCGGTTGCTCCAAGTGACGTCATGATGGATCCGTACTCCACAGGATGTGTGTTGTGGCGCACTTGCAGTGGTAGATTCGGATTTCACGCTAAAAGTTTCGTTTCGCCACAGCATGCAGAGTTCAGGTAACGAGTAACTCGTACTTAGGTTATGGATTTGGCTTCGCATTCATCCGAATGCAAAATGAGTTGCACTATTCCGGGTCAGCAGACAATTTACCCCTCAATCCGATGGCGGTAGACTCAGAGAAAAATGAGCGCTATTGCTAAATATCACTGATGTATCAGAGTCTGATGTTCCGCCATATCTGGAATAATCTACGACAATGATAACCTTGCTGATCTTGGTTCGGGTGAAACAAATTGCGCCTCACTGCTTTGCTTAGAGGCCACTAATCTTTGCCGGTTCGTAGTCGCTCCCAACGGAGTAATCTAAGAGTTAATTCGCTGTCCAACTTCTGCCGCTAACCGAACTTTGAACTAGGATAAGCATACAATTCAACAGGCAGTACAAAGTAAAGGAAGACTTGGGAGCTGTTTCGATCTCTTACCTCGTTGGGAAACAATTGCACAATTTGTAGGATAACCTTTGGAAACATATGGAATACATTCTCCCGACCGACATGCACCCTTCTCCTGGAACCCCTTTGGCTTTGCTACTGCTTGCTTTCTGCTATTCATCATGGTGCCATTACCTGACTCAGTGCGCTGGTTGATGCTGTGTACTTTACAGACTTTGGTCGATTGCGCACGCGAGCCAGACGAGCGATATGTCCGCGCTGGTCGGTGTGACTGGTTATGCTGGCACACTGCTTGTGAAGGTTCCAAAGAGTGGCGGTTGGATTGGTTTTATCGATCACATCCCATTTAAAATTAGGCCATCAACCAGGTAATCGAAAATGCAAGGTGGCGACTGCGAAAATGATTATACAAGAAAGATTTTTCGGTTGAATTGATCGTCCCAAGACGACTGTAATCAGGTCGAAGATCCAATAAGGGTACGAGAAAAACAATGCTGCACACTTGACTTTCAGCGACAAAGTCCCTCACTAGAGCGTGCACAACAGACATTGAAATAATTATGATTGTGCGGAAGGTGGATATACGCTATGCAGAGCTAATAATAATCAGGCGAAAGAACATAAACTAAACGGTGTGCAGCAAATTAGTGAGGAATCGTAACCAAAAAGGTAAGTGTCGAATTGTGGTGCACCACCAAATAGTAGAATGTGAGGAAACGAGGGGACACACGGAAATCAGCGAAATCATGGATTACTTCGGACGAAGGAAGCGTGGTGCAAAGATGAACAAAACAAAAGCTGCGTGGCGCGCATACTATCATCGATACATTTTGTGAGTGAAGGAACACGGCGGAAGGGAGAGTCGGAAAACTACCACGCAGGAACGGAGAAAATGGGCCGGTGTTTCCACAATCAAACTGTTATAGTATCTAGACGTTGGCTGGATAGTACATCACCCGTGTGTACCGCGCCGCATTCTCCCTAGAATCAGTACGACTGCACGTTAGTACTGCTTACTGCCATAGCAAACCATCACCATTTTGAGTGGCTCGTAAATATCTAATTCAATTACTGATTATTTATGAGTAGAAGGTGAATTTACTGTTTTTTCAGGATGTTCTTCAGCTAGACAGCCAGAAAGTTGCTTTCAGGAAACCGCTAGACTGCCGTTTCGTCCATTGAAAGTTTGGTTCAAAGAATGCGCTACGAAAGCATTCGATTGGTATGTGATCCATTGTATTGTTTAGCATAAACTGAACCGCGTTTGTTATATGACCAACTGGCCTATGTGCATTCGTTGTGCTACTAACCGATTCACAAGTGCCACAAGAACGCCCAAAACCGCTGTGAGGACCAGGTGTGTACGAATGCGTTATGTGTCTGAATCCAGTTAGACAATTAGCAACCAAGGGACCGGCCCACTGCTCTTTCTGAAGCCGCTAAGCGTGCAGTCATAAATTCTGGTTGAGATGGTCTTGGCGATCTTTTGCTTTGTGTGAACCATGTTTGGCACCACCAGTATTAAGTGACGTCACAAAATGCAGAATGAGGCAATAGATCAACAATAAAACGACGCATTTG